CTCCCACCAATTGTCTATCAGTTTGTCATCCGGTGGTGGCTTGTGCGTTGTTGTGATGTTTTAATCTTGGACACTGTTATTTCAAGTGCTAGCCAGGTCTCCAAAAGTGAATAAGTTTCAGCAGAGCTTCCAGGCTAAGAACAGACAACAAAGAAGAACTCTCTCCCCAACTTTGGAGGAAGAAGCCACTGAAACACTTATGCATAACTTTGAAGTACTGCCAGATACTGAATGCCTAACAAAATAAAAGTCCAGCCAAAATACTCCTTGGAATTGAAGATGGCAAGACTACATTTGAGGATTTAGAACAAGTTTAAGGAGGGACCAGTCCTTAGTGAAGGACATCCGGATTGGCAACATCCAGGGTTCGTGAAGGAGAGGACAAGCCTCAACAAGATGGACTGACAATGTGGTTTCAACGATGGGCTCAATTAGCTGATCGCATCAATTGTGCAGATAGTGCAGGACCAACCCTTGTTAGGTCTAATGTAATGGTGTAGTCATGATCAAATCTGACTCAGTGACACCAAACAATGGTAAAACATATGTAATCAGATTTGACCGGATGTTTTTAATTGCATCACAGGGTGAAGTGAACCAAGAACTTTTAGTTAGTAGTGCATAAATTGTCTACACGACCAATGGGCTTTGCAAAACTAATAAGTCCAAACATTTAGTGTTGGTAAGGAATATAATTTGGGAAATTCATACAATGCTTATGGGGATATAAAAATATGCAAAAGCATTAGAAAATAATTTGGCTGGTTATGGAATGGGTAAAGATATAGTGAACTTTGGACACAGTGATTTCATGCCTAGATGAACTTACTGCTTATAGTTATGACAGTATATGCCCACACAGCATATTATATAAAAATACTTGTTAAACATTAAAAAAACCTTAAATGCCAATCAACAGATGTTTGGATAAAAATTGTGTGGTACAGCCATGTGATGGTATATGATTCCACTCGAGAAAGCAGTGAAGTGCTGATATAGATCTCTATCAGTGTTGTTTGTTCTGGTGTACCCAGGGTAGTTCACACTCCTTCACTAACTCTCAGTGTGTGTGTGTGTGTGTGTGTGTTTATATAACATCTATAATATAGATGGGACTTGAAAACATTCCACTAAGTGAAAGAAAGCCAAGCACAAAAGTCAACATATTATAAACATTTTTTTAATACAGAAATTCAGAGTGGTGACCAGGTTCAGGTTGTGACCAGAGGAGACAGGAGAGTGGCTGTAGGTATGGGATACTTTCTGGTGGTGAAATATTTCTGGAGCCAGATAGTGGTAAGGATTGTACAACATTGATTGTGTAATTAATGTTGTTTAAGTGTATTCTCAATTTTTGGTGATAATAATTTATATTATGTGAATTTTCCCACAAAAATAATAAAAGAACAAAATTAATAAATGCTGACTTTCTAACCAGTTATAAAAAAAAGCAACTGGTTGGGTAGAATGTAGCAAAATACTTAAAATGTAATAAAACTTACTTTCATGGTGTCATTTCCATTATGTAATTTCATAGGGACCCTATAGAATAGGGTTGAACTATGCTGTGACCTTCCAAGACTATAACTCTTTATAGGAATAGAAAGTCTCATTTTCTCCCACAGGGCATCTGAGATTTGGACTGTTGACCTTTCATTTAGCAGCCTAATGCTTAACCATTATTCCACCAGGAATAAGGCTTCTTGAGGGTGATAAAATGATGCAGTTACAGTTTATGAAAATACCAGTATGTTCACAAATCCTAGCATTTGTACAAGATTTAATGAATAAAAGTGCATCAAGGGAATAATCAAAACTAAATTCAGCCTAACAATCAGTACTGGAGGCAAGAAGTGTGATGAGATTGAGATGCAGTTCAATTGGATGCTATCTTGATGATGATGCTTTATTTCTTAAGGAAGTAATGAATTTATATTTTGTCATAATATTGATATTCTTGCATAAATACAAAGTTCACATATTAACTTGTATATAATTCTTTAGTGCATAAAACTTTAGAAAGGCCTTTCACAGTCTAGAGTATATATAAGCTTTCTCAGTCTTCCCTGAGGAAAGTCATCTTTCTCAAACATGATTACGTCAGGATCTCAAAAGGAACTTAATAAAAATGATGGACCCTTGGATGCTGACCTGGTGGCACTGTAAGGTAAGAACTGCTTTGCCAACTGCAAGCATTTTCTGTGGTTCAAACACACCATCCTTTTAGTGGGAGAAAGGTGAGGTTGTCTGATCCCATAAAGATTTAGAGATTTCAAAATCCTATATAACATCATTAGAGGAGTTGAGGTGGTTAATGGCTGCTCATTGGGCAGCAATCCACATGGATGACAGTTCCGAACTATCAGTAGCTCTGCAGGAGAAAGACTGGGTTTCTACTCTCGTAAACAGTGACAGTTTCAGAAACCCACAGG